GACGTTGATATTTGGTTGATTTTAGGTTGTTAGAAAGTGACCAAAATCCAACGTGGAGCCAACATCTTAACCCAACATCATACTGACGTCAAATACTGACATTTATTTGACAGGTATGGCAACCAAAATTCTACGCCTAATAGACGTCATAGTGGTAACGTCCACACAACGTCAAGCTGTAACATTGTTAGATGTTGATATTTAGTAGGTTTTAGGTGACATCGAACCGATATAGGCGTCTGACGTCAACCTGAATTTCATTTCCAGCAAAATGCCATGGGGGAGGTGTCCATGAAGGAAACCGAAGAGCGGGGGAGGAGGGGGGTTGTGGATGTCGCGGACGCCGCCTTTACTACTATGTCGTCCTCAATGACCACGCACCGGCCCTGGGTACAACGCCACATGTTAACGTCTTGTGCCTGTTGAGAAATGTCACTTTAAGCTGAATACTAGTATGTTGATAAATATTGAGTCAAAAATATAGTACTGTCATCATAGCAAAGATAAAATAAATCAGTTATGTGGTAATAAATAAACAAGGTGCTAATAATTCTGACTTCAACTGCAAAACACAATATGGCGATGTCAGATTTTTCCAATGTCATGCATTAGCTATAAATAAGATGCAGTGAAGTGTTTAAAGACATATTTAAAGCATGCTTGTGTTTTCCGCTGCACTGCTATAATGGATCTGTTTATGTCACTCGTAAGTCCACTGGTGTATTTAGCAGAAGGCTTGAGTCTGTGCTCCTGAAAGTGCGAGATCTGCTGCAGGCCAGTGTTCAGTATCATGTGTTTGGATCATTCGATCTCTCGCTGAGTCACCGCTTACTCTGAGTGCTGATTGTCAGGCCTCGCATCGGGCTTTCTGCCATTGTGCTCCAAACAGCAGATAATGTGGACGCTAGTTTCGTTTCTTCAGGCTCCAGGAGTGATTTATCCAGTAAAACCCATGCTCTGAACACCGCTGTGACGGAAGACACCAGATTTTGGCTTGAATTATGACAATTTTATCATGAATTAAAGAAGACACGGAGACAGGTCATTCAGAGTAACAATAGTTCACATGAGCAATTCCAGCGGTATGGATGTGGCATTGTTTTCAATGGGCTCCTCCGTTCTCTTATTCTCAACCCAGGCTTGTTTTGATTTCGTACCTCTATATACATTTCTGGAGAAAGCAAAATCCGTCCCAGGAGATATGTTTGCAGTTTTGTTTTCGGAAATCCACTTGAAGCCAATGTGTACGCTTTTTCAGATCGCAAATTTCTTGCGAGTTCCATATGCACCTGCTGTTCACACATAAATCCACCAGAGGCCGCTGTCGACTGACTGACCGACTAACCGATCGAAACCCCCACCCACTTCTTCTCTAAACCCAACCTATAGTATTTTAAAAAGCACATATTGACCGAGATATATCCAGCTGGAGACCCGCAGACCCAGACACGTTTCAGGCACACGCAATCTAGCACACGCGGTTTAGGCAATTCCTTAGGATCATTATCGCCACCTATTGAATTTCACAAATATGGTTTCCCATTTCAGTCATGATATCATTATTAAATCGTAACAACATGCAGTTTCTTAACTCAAATTAGGTAAATAAAAATAATTGGTTAAACACTTATGACTTTATTCACATTTATTTATATTTATTTTATTTTAGCACCCGGAGGAATCAACGCAGGGAGAACATGCAAACTCCACACAGAAACGCCAACTGACCCAGCCAAGTTTATATTGCAGTAAAACAAAATATCACATCGTCTAATTTTTCTAATATCATTCAGCGCTAGTATTTTACATCAATCGAAAAATGCAGACTGAGGCTGTATTTGCAGTGATCCAGAGTTGAAAACAGCAATGGCGACAGACTGGTATTCAGTGATATCGCCATCTATTGGCCTGGCTGTATCAATAATGTATCGTTATTATTTTATCAGCTATAATTTACAAGCTATTTAATTAATGGTTTTGTATTTTAAATAATTCATAATAGGCTGTAAACAAATGCTGGGTACCACACAATCGATTTGTGTCGGGACTACATGATGGAATTAAGTTAACTTATTAGTTTTTACAAGTGGATTGAACATACAAAATTAAATTGTCGCCCAAAAAAATTCTTAAGAGTTGTGTTGGCTCAGCCAGGGCTGAAACATCGATATCGCAATGTGATAATTCGCTATAGTCACATCACAAGCATACGGAATGTTAAGTTTGTACTATAATTGATCATTAGCATGTGTTTTTGATGCCTGTGATTGTATAAAGGCCTTAAAAGCATTCAGGTGTTATAAATTGTACCATTTGTAACTTTAACAGCGATTTAATTTGATTTAATAATTTTTGTTTCTATCGTTCAGTTACTGTACTTGAATGCTGTAAACAATAAAACACATCTTTTTCTTGGTTGTATTCATAGATTATTTTGCATGAAAATACTCAACACATGCAAATACAGAAACGCACTGCAAAATCGCACTGATCACAACCCAAACGTGTCGGGGGACCCCAAAACGTTTATAGATAGTTTATTAGATTTGATGGAGATGCACTGCCACTGCACTATCATCCTAATCGATCTGACATTATACATTTATTCCAAAAAGAGATATTAAATAATTTGGTGAAATTGTATTTATATCTAAATATACATATCGCTAAATAAAAATATCTCAGTGTTAGATATTGTCAATCATAGAATTTATTCCAATGACAGATGTTTTTAGTTTTCTAACATCGTGCAGCCCTAGTTTCTCTTTTTAGCTTTAGTATTTTGCACAAACAAGAAACGCCACTTTAATCTAATATAGCTACATACAGTTGAAAGCAGAAGTTGACATGCACTATATAAGAAGGCAGATGTTAACGAGACTAAACTTTTCCTCTTTTAGGTAAGTTAGGATGATCAAATGTGTTTCTGTTCTGCTAAATAGCAGAATAATGAGAGATATTTGTTGAGAAACTGTTATAACTGTTCTTGAAAGTCAAGTTTACACACAATAAGATTATTCTGCCTCTGATAAGGCTCAGATGATGATGTCAGGGTTTTGGAAGTTTCTGATTGGCTGATTGACAACATTTGAGTTAATGTGAGGCACAACTGTAGAATAGTATTGAAGGAGAAGCTCAAACACACTGCTTCCCTGTGTGACAACATGAGAAAATCAACAAGCCAGAATCAACAACAAAGCCAGATTACAGTTTGCTGAATGACACTGGGAAAAGAGTAATGCTTGGAGACATGTCCTGTGCTCTGATGAAGCTAAGACTGAACTGTTTGGCCATAATGAGCAGTGTTACATGTGGAGGACAAAGAGGAACAAGCCTAGAACACCATCCCAACTGTGCAGTATGGGGGCGGCAGCATCATGTTGTGGGGCTGTTTTGCTGCAGGAGGGACTGGTCCACTTCACAGCATAGATGGCATCATGAAGACAGAACATTATGGAGAAATACTGAAGCAACATCTCAACACATCAGCCAGGACATTACAACTTGCCCACAAATGGCTCTTCCAGACAGACCATGACCCTAAGCACACTGCCAAATGAGTTCACATGTGCTCTAAGGACAACAGAGTGAATGTTTTGGAGTGGCCATCACAAAGCCCTGATCTCAATCCTATAGTGAATGTGTGGGCAGAGTTGAGAAAGCTTGTGTGAGCAGGACAGCCTACAAATCTGACTCAGTTACAGCAATTCTGCAGGAGGAATGGGCCAAAACTCCTGCAAACTATTGTGAGAAGCTTGTGGAAGGAGACCCAAAACATTTGACCAAAGTTAAACAGTTTAAAAGCAAAGCTAAAATACCAAGGAAATGTGTGTAAACTACTGACTGTCTAGAATTTAATAAACTATTCTCTCATTCTGGCATTGAGCAAATGTAAATCATTTAGGAAATCCTAACAGACCTAAAATATTAAACGTTTAGTGATTTACCATCAGACATTTTTCTAAATATTCCTTTTGTGCATGTAAACTTCTGCTTACAACTGTTTTATGTTACAATGAAGCTCTGTTATACTTATATTTTCTATACTCTTTTAGCAGTATAAGAAACAAGTCTAAGGTCATGTTCCACCTGGTATTAATGTGTTTAAATGCAGCACTTTGAGCACTTGTGTTCAGATTTCGCTGAGACCCTTCTTTCTTATTCCATCATGTTTCACATTACTTTTGCAAGCACTACTGAGTGCACGAACCCCAGGGTGCATGGCTCGTGAGAAAGAGAGAAAACAAGAAAGGACAAGGATGCATGCTTGCAATGTGCACATTTATCATTTTATTTAGCGATATTTCATGCTAGGACTGGAATGTTTTGTTAATGTTTATATATATTTGGAGACAGATAGCTGATATATTAGCTGATGAGTATAAACTATATTATCTAAGTCTATATATTATGTAATATAAGTCTTTATATTATTAAATAAAAAAGTTACAGTGATTTTATTTAAAACCTTTACGTGAGAAAACTTAATAATTAATCAACTCTTCTTTTCTGTTGCCAGCTTTCTTTTTCATTTTCCTTCGGCTTAGTCCCTTTATTCATCAGGGGTCACCACGGTGGAATGAACCACCAATTAATCTAGCATATGTTTTACGCAAACCCTTTCAGCTGCAACCCAGTACTGGGAAACACCCATACACACTCACTCTCATTCAGTTTAGTTCATCAGTTCCCCTATAGCGCATGTGTTTGGACTGTGGGGGAAACTGGAGCACCCGGAGGAAACCCACGCCAACACGGGGAGAACATGCAAACTCCTCACAAACACCAACTGACCCTGTCGGGACTCAAAGCAGCGACCTTCTTGCTGTGAGGCCACAGTGCTAACCACTGAGCCAGCGTTTTGTGCATAAATCTAATTTGCATATTTAAATGCATGTAGTAGTGTTTTGAAATCAGAGTTATGATTGCATTATTGAGTGTGTGTGTGTGTGTGTGTGTGTGTGTGTGTGTGTGTGTGTGTGTGTGTGTGTGTGTTTCAGCACACGTCTGTGGACGGCTACACAGACACACCAGCAGCGCCAACGAAGTCGTCGAGTCGTCAGAGTTTGCCGCGCTCCAGGAACTCAGTGGCCTCCATCACTGACGAACAGCCTCATGTCGGCAACTACAGACTGCTGAAAACCATCGGCAAAGGAAACTTCGCCAAAGTCAAACTCGCCCGGCATGTGTTGACTGGACGAGAGGTGAGTTTGTGCACACTGATACAGTAATAAAACCAATGAGCCGTGTCCTAGAGTTAGACAAGCTTCAAAAGAAACTGACGCAAAAGACATGATGGACACACTCACATGCATGAAACCAAATATTTGTATATATACAGTTGAAGTCAGAATTATTCGCCCCCCTGTTTATTTCTTCAGGACATTTCTAATTATAATAGTGTTAATAACTCATCTCTAATAACGGATTTATTTCCTCTGTCATGATGACAGTAAATAATATTAAACTAGATATTCTTCAAGACACTTCTATACAGCTTAAAGTGACATGTAAAGGCTTCACTAGGGTAATTAGGGTAACTAGGCAGGTTGTTTTGTAGACTATCGAAAACAAATATAGCTTAAAGGGGCGAATAATATTGACCTTAAAATGGTGTTTAAAAATTAATAACTGCTTTTATTCTAGCCCAAATAAAACAAATAAGACTTTCTCCAGAAGAACAAACATTATCAGACACACTGTGAACATTTCCTCAATCTGTTCAACATCATTTGGGAAATATTAAAAAAATAAAAGGGGGCGAATAATTCTGACTTTAACTGTATATATATATATATATATATAAATATATATATATAAATTCATTTATTTAATTTCTTTTGGCTTATTACTTTAATTAATCTGGGGTTGCCACAACGAAATGAACCGCCAACTTATCCAGCATGTTTAACGCAGCGGATGCCCTTCCAACTGCAACCCATCTCTGGGAAACATCCACACACACTCATTCACACTCATACATAACAGACAATTTGTGGCCCGTTTTCACTGAGTGGTACGGTTCGGTTTAGTACGCTTTTTGGCTGTTTCCACTGTCAAAAGTAGTACCGAACCACTTTTTCAGCTCTCTTTCGAAAGGGTAGAGCTAGACGCGCTAGAAGCGCAGCTGGGCGTTATTGGTTTATCGAGATACGTCACGAGCTTACGCAACAAGCCAGAATGAAAACAAAAGAGCCGCCATGTTTAAAATACACAGCGAGAGATCTTTTACAGAGTAAATATATATATACATAGAATAACGAGCATTGGTCAACCCAGGCTCAAACAAACCTTGTTGTCGTCTTGATGAACAGCCACAAAGCCAAAAGGAAGAGCAGATTTACCCTGCGCCCCTGAGCCAGTCTGAAGCGCAAGCGGTTTCGCTTTCTGGCTTGCGCTCGCCGCGCGTCTATATCTGAAATAACAAACTTCTAGAGCTGATGATAATAACGTGCGCTTGATTATTGACCTGCTTTTGAAACCCGATCCTGTCAGAAACTGACAAACGCGAGAGGAGAAGCCGGAAACAAAGCAGCACAATATTATTTCAGCAAACGTGAACACACTGCCATGTTTAACTATTATCATCAGCTTCTGGACTATTATGAACTCAGAATGATGGAGTGACTCTCTAACAGAAGCTACATGTGCTGCTGAAGATTACACACACAGATGACAGGTCTGCTCTGACTGTAGACTATATTTTCTGTTGTTCATGAACCTAAATAAGGACTAAATGTCTGCTCTGTGTAGTTCTTCTGTAGTTCGGAGACTGTAAGGGTCTGTATGTGTTCATATATGTTCATTTATTTATTTATTTAATATAATTACAGACGTTACAGTTACAGTAGGCTATTTCACACTGTCATTGATCTGCAGTTATAATCAACTCCTGTTCATAAACATTCATACAGAAGTATTGATGTGTGTAAAGCGTCTGTGCTTCTCATATGATATGTAAGCGAGCTGTACAGATTTACTATAGACATTTATTCGAGCGAGAATGACGTCGACTGAAACTTTCTGTCGTACACTACACCCACCAAAAGGCTACCCTTGGTAGTGGAAACAGAAGCCTGATAAAGGTGACCCGTAACGACCTGAACCATACTGTACCAGTCAGTGTAAACGAGCCATTAGCCTACCCAATTCACCTGAACCGCTTGTGTTTGGACTGTGGGGAAAACCGGAGCCCCCTGAGGAAACCCACACGAACACGGGGAGAACATGCAAACTCCACACAGAAACACCAACTGACCCGGCCGATGCTCGAACCAGCGACCTTTTTGTTGTGAGGTGACAGCACTACCTACTGAGAAAAGCATGAGATTAACTAGCTTTCTCTAGAAACCGAATGGCATTTCACTGCGATCTTCTCTTATAAAGAAAGCACACATCATTTCGCAGCCACGACTGCACACGACTGTGTATATGAGTGTATGAATACACACTTTTGACAGAAACACTCTTAATATTTGTCTTTCAGGTAGCAGTGAAGATCATTGATAAAACACAGCTGAACCCTACTAGTCTACAGAAGGTGAGACTTTGGCATCTTCAGTACTTTTTTTCTGCTTATGTTTTGCTGAAGAACATTCACTATGCAACAAAAGGCCCGATGTAAACAATGGGACATTGTCTTTGAGCAAATGCATATGTTTTCCCTGGTTTTGTGATTTTCGTCCTGTTGTTATTGACGTATTTCAAATGTTTAATGCTTTAAAATGGATTTAGGCACTATAGAATTTTTTTTGTTTGGTGTTTTGGTCTTTATGTCGTCTAATAATGACATGGCGAGTCAAAACAGATGATTTGATATGAATGTTTATGTGGTATCAGTTGATCTAATCTAATCATCAACACTCAGCTCAGAATCTTGTAGTGTTTACACTAGTGTAAAGGTTGGCTAGTTTTTACCAGAGTTCACAGAGTTTACTGGATCAGGAAAGTGCTTTATGTGTGTGTTTTGTTAGCATTGTGCGATTCATGTTTTCCTGCTAAAAGATATGATGAGTTTGTGATTTTACTGTTGATCAATTAATGCAGACGCACTTAACAGAGAGCTTTACTAGACTGAGAGGAGAGATCGCAGTTTCCCAAATCTAGACCTGGAGAAACACCATGCTGAAGAGCTGAACTGGGTGGATGGATAAACGAGTGAATGGACAGACAAACATAGATAGATAGATAGATAGATAGATAGATAGATAGATAGATAGATAGATAGATAGATAGATAGATAGATAGATGGATGGATAGATGGATAGATGGATGGATGGATGGAGGACTAGATATATGGACAGATGGAAGAATAGATAGATAGATAGATAGATAGATGGATGGATGGATGGATGGATGGATGGATGGATGGATGGATGGATGGATAGATAGATGGACCGACAGACGGGATAGATGGATGGATGGATAAATGGA